TTTAAAAAAAATTTAATAGATATTATTAATTAACTTTAAGAATTATGAGGGGTCGGATACTTATGACCGCTACTGTAGGCTTGTCAACAATTACAAAAGTTTCTGTATCTATTATTACTAGAGGTAGCGATTTTAACCCATAGAATATATTTAGCAAAGAAACAGAAACTTCTTCTCTACTAACCCATCCTCTTACCATCACTTTCTTGCCAGCATTTGTTGTGCCAATACCAAGCTCTTTTACTGCAGAATATTCTAATCCAAATTCTCTAGTAATATATAAACCAATTTTTTGGGCAAACGCTTTACTGATACTATTACACATGGAATTAGGGTCAATCAATACCTTAACAATTACTTTATCATTAACAAATATACAGTTCACTATCAATCTTTTGTGAATTTCTCAAAGCATCTTATCTTTTCATATATTATTTATACTGCAAAATTTTTTAAGATTCTGTATTAATAGATTCTTTAGAATAAAGGGTATTAATTTAGGTGCAAGCCGATCAAGCAAATTAACTGTATACATTTTATATGATTAGAAGAATTTTCAATCAGAAAAAATAGAGATAGTTGGCATATATATTTTCTTTTTCAAATATATATGGGAGTGTTTCTAGGAAAATCAGGTTCCGAGAAATTTTTGATTAAAATTAAGAGCTTAATACATTTTAATATAATAATATTAAAAACTAAAATGCAATAAAAATCTCAATTTCGCTAAAAAATTCCCAGAACCTGATTTTCCTAGCAATCAACCCATATGTAAAAATTATTATGTCATATAGACTTATTATATGATCGGCCTATTTTTGTCACACATAAGTACATGCATTGTAACCTAACAAATTCTTTTAAGCTAAAGATTACTGCTCTGGACTACCTTTGCTCAGGTTAGTTATCTAATATATGCCTCTCAATTAGTATTATACCTCATTCAGATTAGCAATACTGGACTAACTAATATAATTTTTAAACCCAGTTATAATATTAGTCACTGATTCTTTTTCGTTTTAATAAGCATTTCTACCAATTTACGATAATAATCATTTTTTGCAATACATCTCATATTTTCTTATATTAATCTACTATAGAATTCACTTTTAAAATAACTTTTACAGAGTTTGACGATATTATTATATTTCTTTGCCTTTAAACAGTAATTCACTATTGATTCTTCACCTTGAATAAACAATCTACATCAGAATTTCTCAATACCATCTGGCCATATTTTCTCTTGAAGTTCATGCAGATAATATGGTAATTTTATCAGACTCAAAATATGTGAAAGATAAAAAGCATCAGAATGTATAAATACATGGAATAATGATGATAGATTTCTTACATTAGACAGACTATATACAAATTGCTTAAGCGCTTTCTTTTTCTAATACTTAACTGCCTTTGTCCCCCAGTAGATTTTGATTGTGCAAAAAAGGTCATTCTAGTATCTCCAATTATCAGGATTCCCTTCATTATCCCATTTATATCTCGATTCATATTCTTTGATAAATTCATTGTAGCCTTCATCTGTCTCGTCATCTAGTAGATTGATTAAATATTTTCAATCAAAAAAATAGGTTAATCATTGCTCGTTTCTATCACACATAAGTACATGCATTGTGACTTAGCAAATTCTTCTGAGCTAGTGATCACTGCTCTGGTTGATGATCAGTATTCTGGACACAAAATTGAATATATGCTAGCTAGAAATAAACACAATTATGACAAGTAATACTAATCATAAATTTGTTCAAAGCGAAATACTTGAAAATCAACTATATAAAATGCTTTTATATAAGAAGATGGATATATTAGCTATTCAAGAACACATAGTCAAAGAAAAATGTAGTATAAGGTCTTACACAAACCCATCTATTAATGAAAATGCAAATTAAACAGGATTGAATCAAAGCAAGAAAGTAATAGCATGTACTTGCTTTGATAATACAAGTAATCTATTGTTAGATTTGGTAGAGAAAATTATATCAATAGAGGAGAAACTTGAGACTAGTAGCAACCCAATCCTTGATAAATTATATTAATATAGAGAATATCTTATCGAAAGATCAATGGGAGAATTTTCACTTAGAGAAAAATACCATTTTCTTTTATATCTGAAAGCGAATATAAGCATGATTCAAGCTTATCTTAATATTATCAGTTATACTAATGAAGAAACGATAAAAGAAGATACTGAGAAAAATGAGAGCATATATTCAAAAGTTTAGACGTTTTAAGTTTGGTAATACAGAAATTTATCAATAAGGAGTAAAACGTTTTTATTTTACTAGAGAGGGATTATTGTTATTTTTGAAGGTCTCTCCTCAACAATAGTATGAAGTTTTCATAAAAAATTCAGTTAGTACAGACCAATACCCATAACTAGAACAGGTTAGTTAATTTATATTTTTTTGTCTTTTGCACAGTAATTATTTGGAAGAAATTGTTCAGAATATAAGTCCTTTCCTTTCAATTCGATATGCTTTCATAGAATAGGTGCATCATATTTGTACTATAATTGGGAAACAAATAGTGCAGAATACAGTGACTTATTTACCGCTAGAAAATATAGAATCTGCTTTAATAGTTCTAGTAAATTTATAACACTTAAATATGCTATAAATAATATATACTGTATCTTTAATCGAAAAATATTCCGCTTTTTTTATTTTAACCTTCTTCAGCCATGCTCTTTTCATTGCTTTTTTATCAATTATCAAGAGAGCTATTTCATGTATTATGTCAATCACAATTTTCCTTATCTACACATTCATTCAAATCTTCTAATTCAGTTCCTAAAGACTTTACATCTTTCTCTAATCTTTTTACTTTCTTTTCTAAAGTGTTATATTAGGAATAATAATCTTCCAATTGTTTCTTTAGTGCCTTATTTTCACCAGAAAGTGCACTATATACTTTGCATTTTACTTATTTAGTCCAAATATCTAGACTAATTTCTTTGTATATCTAATAACTTCCTGCTCTCTCGATGCATTAAATGAATAATTTTGATTGGTTACCATTTTTGTGATATTTTATATATATCATATCTTACCTCAAACAAAAAAATAAAATTATGCATATTGGTAATAAATCTAGCAAAATTTGCCAAAAGCACGTTTCTAGTAGCTATATATATTAATAATATCAGATATTTTATTATTTTCGATTTTTTCAGATATTATAGCATCATATAGATAATATATTTTTCAGCTAATGCTTTTAAATTTTTGATGTATCTTTATTATATCACGCTCTAATGCTATAATAGAGTCTTTGATCTCTTGAATAGCACTTATCTTTTCTTTTTCTGAATATATGCAATATCTGAACAATAACTATAATATTATGTTAGCGTTATAACTTGTCTTTCTGTATATATATGTGCAATTCACTAAACAATTAAATTGCCATTGCTCTGAGCATCTGTTTTATTTCATTATCTGACCTTTCGCAATTCTCCTTCTTAGCTATATCATAATAAAGCTTATATAATTCCTCTAGGCTAGCATACAAATCATTATCCATATACTTTTTGCGATAATTTTCTAGCCTTAAAGTATATGTCTCTTCGTTAAGAAACATCTTAATTGCGATTGTCTTAATATAGTCATTCAGATTCTTTTCAGCTCACAATTTTTTTAGATAGTCTCCATAGATTTTCACAAAATTATTATATTTTTTACTCTTTTGCAATGCAGTTTTTATAACTTTGACTTACGCAAGTTCTATATCCTTATGATTGACTATTTTGTATTATTTCTACTATAATAATAAAAAAATTTTAATTAATAAAATTATATTCTTTAATAATTTTTACCCTCAGAAAAAATATTTGTTATAAAGCATCTATTCCTTGACTTGAAGTCTAACTTTCATAGCCCTTTCTTCTGCTTTCTCAGAAGATATTCCAAATGCTACTAGGTATTTGTATAATCCAATTCGCCAATATTCATATGGGAGAGTTTGAATTCCATCAAGTAAGATCCAGCGTTTATTATCATATGAATTTAACCTTATCTTATTTACCCTCTCCAGATATATTTGATGATTATAACTACATAAACTATACATATCATGTTAAGTTAGTTTCTTATCCCTAAGATATTCTAGAAACTTATCATGTTGAATCTTTCTTTTGATTACACATTCCTTTATACCCTTTGCCTTTTGGATACTATGCTTCTTTTTAGGATCTTTTAAATTGAGATCATTGGGAGTTTTAGAATTATGACCTACTAGAAGAACTGAATATATTTTTAACTTTAAGTATATTGATTCGCCTATTAGATCCTTTTTTGTCTCATTCTTTATTAAAAACAAGTCTCTTGAATAGTTAAGATTGGAAATATCTGATCTTTCTGCTCGATCTTTATAGATATCCTCAGTTTCTATTCACATGATAAGTGATTCTGTATCTGTATAAAATAAATGGACATTTTCTTCATAGTAATTCTTTATGTAACTGTATTAAAAGTTGAATATCATGGCCTTGCTAATGTCAAGAATTGCCTGCTTTACATAGATTGGTTTGTTTAGAATTACTGTACTTTTTAACATATGGATTGCTGTAATTTCCCTTCAAATGCTTTAAAGCCTACATACAATGGTGAACTTGCTAAACGCTTAATTTTTTTATCCTCTTCTATTCAGAGTAATTCTACTCTCATATATTTTCGAACATTTTTCATCTGTTTGCCAAAGACTGCATTGTTCTTTAGCTTATAATACATTACTTCAAATTCATTCCCATTAGCTTTAGCAATTTTACGCTTGCGAATATTTTCTCAATATAGTCTTTCATCTATAGAGACTACCAAAATTTAAGAGCACCATGAATTTTTATAATCTTCATCCTGAACTTCATATATATCTGAAAAGCTTGATAGTAAACTACATAATTTTTCTTAGTAAAGAGGGTCTGGACTAGCTTCTCTCTAGACATATATTTTCTATTTCCAACTTTTTTATCTTTAACTAATCTTTTGTTATATAGACTAAGCCAGTTTTCTGATACTATCTGCTTTTTGGCATTAAAGGATAATTTGCAAAGAAATCATGCAAGTGCACTGGGATTTCTAAATCAACTTCAAGTATATAGCCTATTTTTGCATTTGGCACAATACTTTGAATATCTGGTACTTCCTCTGGACTTACCTTATCTAGGATTTCTATAGGCATGTATTGGGTTATCACACCTGAATATAAGGTATTCATATCATCATACAAGATATAGGACTTTAGCTTATTAGTAACATAGTTAAGACATTATAGATTATTTGCTTTAGCATATTGTTAGCTCACTATTGTCATACCATCACGAATGCCATTTTCTACTGTTAGATATTCATCCATATTTATCATAAGTTTGAGTTTTGCCCTGCTACTTTTGTAAAGAGAATCATTAAACATTTCAGGTGCTGAAATATAATGAGAGGGATCTAAGCCGTCATCTTTTAAGCACATGATAGTGTAATTCATGAAAACATCTATAAGCAAAAGTATATCTATTTCAAGATATAAGTTATGATAATTTTCAAAGTTCTTTATCTCGAATATTTGTCATACTTTTTGAGCATATTCGTAATCCTCTTTACTAATATTTTGCTGATTAAGAAGTGAATAGAAATCCTTTTTAGACAGGAGGCTTATTCTGTCGAATTTTTTTCATGCATTTGTTCAGTCATATAGAAAGATACCCTTTCAAAAAAGAAGCTTTATCTTATCTATTAAGTAGCCTTTCTCTGTAAAGTACTTAACAGTTAAGGGGAATTTTTCAAGCTTTTTACCTAAGCTTTCTACTAATTTATCTAGTCTCATTTCCATATGTTAAAAGCTATCTAAGAACTGAAGCTGTCTTACATTTATAACTTTGTACTTTCCTATATTCTTTGGGATATAATTTAGCTTATCAACTATGAACTTACTTACAACTTTCATAAGTGGATGAGAGTTATACCCTAAAAATTATGACAAATAAGAGACACCTTAGTTTCAAAAGAGCCTATTCGCAACTTTTTATTACAAGAGTCATAAGCTGGACCTTAGTATTTTCCATTTATATAATCATGATCTTTTACTTTTTGATTAAGTATACTTAAAGCTTCTCAGTATCTTTTCTGTACCTCTTTCTTTTTTGGATGTTCTTTTTCCATGCATGATTCCCATTCTTTGATTTCTAATAAATTATGCTTTGCTTTTTTGAGTTTTTGTATTATCTCTGATGTTGGTTTTAAAAAAGGTCCCTTACAAATCTAGCATTTAGTCATTTCATTATATACTTTAAGATCTCCTGATGCCATTATCATTTCTACAGGTATAGATAAGTCCTCCTATATATTTACCAGCTCCTTCTCTATTTTTGTAACAAATCTTTTAAGTGCATCTGGATTCCTATATAAATTATGACTTATGATTTCATAATTAAGTAAATTATCCATATGAATAACTACATAGCAATTAGTGTTCCGAAAGGGTCGGGTCAAACCTGAGTCATTTGATCTGACTCGTATTTAAAATCTGAATCGAGTTTATCATTATTTGACACAAGTCCTATATTCAACCTGACCCGTCGGGTTAGGGTCATACCTTTGCTTAACCCGGGTTGACCCTGGGTTGACCCAGGTTTAATTAATATTTTGATAATCTTAGATTTAAAATGTTTATGTTATGTGATTTTTAATTTCTAACTTTATTTGTAATTTATGTATGAAAATGAGCAAGGCTGAGAAAACAACTCTTGGAAAGTACCCTTCTTTAAGAAGTGAACTTTTTACTAGAGAACTTTTTGAAGAAAAAGAACTTCCACAAGAACACAAAAATGCAAAAACTCATCGAGTGGTTAAGTGCTTAAACTGCCCGTAAGTATTTTAGAAAAAAAATAAAAATTTGCTTAAATATTCATAAGCATTTTTATAAAAAAATTAATTATAAATTTAATCTCTTAAATTTTAGGGATAAAACATAGTTTCGCAAGATTGGTGATTCTAATACAATAAATCTTTGGTGTCATTTAGAACGTAATCATCTAGAGAAAAACCCCAAAAAAGCAAAGAATTTAATGGTTGAAACCCAAAGCACATTGGATGAATTTGTAAACCATACAACAATTACATCTAAGGTATGTTAATAAATAATATATAAAATGGAAAGATATAAATATTAAAAATAGTTTTTTTTTTAAGTTTACACAAAAAGGTTTTCGCGAGTTCATTACTAAATGGGTGATCGATGATGATCAACTATTTATAACATTAGAAAATAAATATTTTCGAAAGATGATAAAAATATTAAATTCAGATGTACTAGTCCCATCAGCAGATACAATAAAAAATGATATATTAGAAAGTTTTAAAGTGGAACAAAAAAAAATGAGTAAATTGTTTCAGGTAATTTAAATATATGTAAAATAAATTTATTTTTTAAAATTTTTTTTTTATTTTATTAAACAATTTATCTATTTAATAGAGTGCACCTAGGAGAATTTCTTTTACAATTGATTCATGGATATCAATGAATGGTTATTCCTTTTTAGCTATAACAATACACTGAATTACTAAAGATTGGAGGCTTCAGGATAAATTGCTAGATTTTATAGATCTTTCTGGTCCTCATTCAGGTGAAAATCTCTGTAATGCTTTCGTAAAAAGTTGTCATGAGTTTGGAATTTTAGAAAAGATAAATAAATATTTTTTTATTTTTTTTTTAAATTTTTTATTTTATTTTTAAATTTTTTATTTTATTTTTATCTTATTTTTAATTTTTGTTTATTTTTATTTTGTTTTTTACTTCATTTTTTTTATTTATTTTATTTATTTTATTTTTTTTATTTTATTTTATTTTTATTTTTCTTTAATTTTTTTAATTATTTTATTTATTTAACTCTTTATTTTTTTTTTAATTGTTTCATTTTTATATTTATACAAACTTGAAATATAACTAATAAAATCATTGTAACTTTAACAGATTTTTGCAGTTACTAGTGATAATGCTTCAAATAATATTATCTTTATAGAATGTTTAAAAAATACTTGTCAAATGGAAAATATTTTCTTTGATGCTATTAATTCCAATTATTAATGCCTTGCTCATATAATAAATTAGTTGTACAAGAAATCATAGAACAAGTTAAAGCTGGTGAAGCACAAATTGAAGATGATATCATAAATAATATGAATTTAACTATAAATGCTGGAGAAATAATTTATAAAGTAGGTTAATTTTTCATATTTCTTTAAATTTTAAATTATTATAATACTAATTTTATATCATAATTAGCTTTGTAAGCTTATAGTAAAAATAAAATTATCATCACAATGTAAAGAAAGTTTGCACGTCATGCTGAAGTTGCTAATCTTAAAGAGTTTAACCTTATCTTAGATATTAGAATGCAATAGAACTCTACATTTGATATGCTTAATCATGCATTTGTAATGCAAGAGGTTAGAGTATTTATCATATTATATTTATTTGCTTTTTTTATTATATTAATATAATAATATTTTTTACATTATAGGCAATAAATGCAATAGCAAATGCAGATAAAGATCTCAGAAATTTTGAAATTACTGATGATGAATTGGATAAAATAAAAGAGATTATTTCTGTTTTGAAGTAAGAAAATTGACAAATAAAAATAAGTTTTTTGATAAATTTAATCCTTATAATTAATTAAAAAAATTTTATTTTATATTAAATAGATATTTGTACAAATTACTAAAATACTTTCATCTGCAAAATATCCTATGCTTTCTTCTTCCATACCAATATATAATTATTTAATGGATAGACTTGAAGCATATTGTGAAAATTTAGATAGTTCTAATGATATAGTAATTGCTATTAAAGCAGGATTAAAGAAACTTGAGTTATATTATGAAAAATCTGATGAAATTATATTATATATATAATTACTACTAGTAAGAAATAAAAATAGTAAAATTTTTTACAAACTGAATAATAATATAGATAATTTTATAATGCTTAATTTACGATTTAAGTTAGATTACTATAAAGACAATAAGTGGAGACAAAATTTTATTCGATATGCAAAAGAAACAGTTCTTAATGTTTATAATACTAATTATGCATCTAGTAATACTAATGTAAAAGTTGCTGATAATAATGATGATGATGAATTCTTAGATCACATTTTTGGTAAAAAGAATAATTATCAAAAAAATAAAGTAGAAATGTATTTAAAAAATCCTTAAACAGATCAAAATCAAGATGTTTTATTGTAGTAGAAGGTATCTATTTAAAAATAATTAATATATTTTATTTGATTTAATTTTACTAATTCATTAATAAACATATATAGTTAAATGAAGTAGAGTAATCACACCTAACAGCAATAGCAAGAGATTATCTTGCAATTGCAAGTAAAAAATTTATTCATTTTAATATTACTAAATATTAGTTAATAAATGATTTTGATTTAGCTACAAGTGTTCCAGTAGAATGGATCTTTTCTAGCAGAACTGATTTAATAACAATAAAAAGAAGCAATCTCAAAAAAAATACAATTTGCACCTGTATGTGTTTGAAGTCATAGTGGGAGTAAAGAAAATTTAATTAGAATATATTTTATAATTTTATCATAAAAATTTAAATAAAACTTAATTAGAATCTTTTTTTGTAAAAGTTATGTGATATACATATACTATTATCTTGCTGATTATAAATAAATTTGTTAAAAATTTTATTTAACCTAGGTCATCTAAAGGTCAAACTATAACAGATCAGGTTAGGGTTGGGTTTTATAAATATTAACTTGGGTATTTATAAAGATTGATTTTTATAAATGGGTCGAGTCTGAATACATTTTCAAATCTGATCTGATTCAACTCTTTCAGAATACTATTGCCAATTAGTAATTTATAAAACTAAAATGTTGAAATTAAATAATTTTAATTTTGAAAATAACCAGTTTGTTTAAGAAATTTGCCTTGGAAAAGGAAGATGACATTTTGAAATATTATGCGTGCCTGAAATATACTGTAACAACATTTTTAATATTTTAAATATGCTTGAAACAAATTATTTATCATTATTATTGTATTCTCAATACACACTTTGGAAGTCATAACCAATTTAATTTTAAAATTTTAAGACAAAACTGGTAAGTTAGATTAGTGCTTTATGTAAAGCATAATTTAACTCATAGATGTAAGGTTTTTTATAGTCTATATCACAGTTCAATTTTCCATCACAAATGCTTCTTTTTAGGAATCTATATTCCTAAAATCACCATGCCATTATCTCGAATCATAAATTTCCTATTTTCAAATCCCAAATGTCATTTTCTAATACTGATATCCTGAATGAAGAAGGTTTATATTTTCTTCAAATTATGA